GATGCCCCTTGTCAGCAGGAAGTAGCCAGAGAGAATCCATGCCCTATTTCATGATTATTAAAAGGCTGGAATGTAAGGTCCGCTCCTGGATGGCGAGCAGACTCCACCCTCCTCACAGCAAAGTCTCCACCCAGTACCTGCGTTACCTAGGCAACTGGGACACCTGGAAAAGGTCACATCTGCATCCTCTGAGGTCAGTCACATCTGAGTTTGATGTGGCCACACCTTTCTCCACCCATACCCTAGATAAGGATTAGCCCAGGCCCAGATGCTCTCTTTTTTCTAGCTCTTTTCGAGCTCTCTCTGCTCTTTTCTAGCTCTTTTTTCTCTCTTTCCTCTCTCTTTCCCAGATCTCTCTATTTCCCAGGCCTTTCCCAGCCACGTGGAGTGCCAACCTTGCCTGGTCCCAGCAGGTCTACTGAATAAACCTACCCCTTACCTGAAAAAAAAAAGTTTGTCACGACAAAGGACATAGTTATTAAACAAGTAAGGCAGCCAATAGATTGGGAGCAATAATTAGACAAGGCCAAAATATACAAGGAACTCAAGAAAACTCCACCCAAAGCTAATAAACCAATCACTAAATGGCCAAAGGAGCTAAGGAAAGACTTCTCAGAAGAAACATAGCAAGAAATACTCAACATCCCTGGCCATAAAAGAAATGCTAATCAAAACAACTTTGAGATTCCATCTCAGATTGGCCAACCTTGTGTATGCAAACAACATCAAATGTTGGTGGGGATCTGGGGAAAAAGGAACTCTACTGCACTGCTGGTGGGAGTTGTGAACTACTACAACCACAGTGGACAGCAGTCTGGAGATTCCTCAAAAATCTAAACAGATCTTCCTACAACCCAGCACACCACGCCTGGGCATCAAAGCCAGGAAACCATAAGGTCACATGCACATCCACGTGCACTTCTGCACTATTCACAGCAACCACACTATGGAGACAATCCGGATGCCCTGCAAGAGATGAGCAGATCCAAAAACGTGGTTCCGGAACACAATGGAATTTTACACAGCCATTAGAAAGAACAATATGTCATTTGCAGGCGAATGTATGGACCTAGAACAAATCATGATAAATGAGGTAAGACCACTTCAGAGGGACAAAAGGTGTAAGTTTTCTCTCATATGCAGAAGCCAGATCTAAAATATACTAAGACATTCACACACAGTGAGACCAAAGTAGGACACTCTTAGGACTGGAACAAAAAGACCAATATCCATGTGCCTCTGATCATATAAAATAAGATTGATCAGGGGCACTAGTGGCTCACACCTATAATCCCACCTATTCAGGAGGCTGAGATCTGAGGATCACAGTTCAAAGCCAGCAGTGTAGGTAAGTCTGTGAGATACTTATCTCCAATGAGCCACCAGAAAACCAGAAGTGGAGCTATAGAGCTCTTCAGGCCACACTGACTGACAATAATAGTAGTTGTAATAGCAATAATAATAACTACAATTATATAATAATAATAGCTATTATTAGTATAGAAATAAACTCCAGGAAAATGAAACAAAGGTTATTCTGTTGATATTTTTGTTTTCTTTTTGTCTTTTTTTGGGAGATTTTTTTGGGAGATTAAGTGGGGACATAGAAATGGAGGGACAAAGGGCAAACAACTACAGCAGTGGTACATGTATGTTTTGCCAGTCCTGGGACTTGAACTCAGGCCTGGGCACTGTCCCTGAGTCGCTCTGTGCTCCAAGCTAGTGCTCTACCATGTGTGCCCCAGCGCCACTTCTGGCCTTTTCTGTTTATGTGGTACTGAGGTATCAAACCCAGGGCTTCATGCATGCTAGGCAACACTGAACCACTAAGCCACATTCCCAGCCCAAGCAGCAATGGAACTTGTTAGACACTATATTGAAGATGAACCACACAACTTGTGGGTGGGAAAAGGAGGGAAAAACTCGCAGAAAGTGAGAGAAGGTGTGGCACTGAACAAAAAGAAATGTACTCATTACGTGGCTTGTGAAAACTGTAACCCCCCTATACATCACCTTCATAATAACTATTTAAAAGAATTTTTTAAGCTGGGCACCGGTGGCTCACACCTGTAATCTTAGCTACTCAGAAGGCTGAGATCTGGATAGAGGTTCAAAGCCAGCCTGGGCAGGAAAGTCAGTGAAACTCTTATCTCCAATAAACCAGCAGGAAACCGGAAGTGGTGCTGTAGCTCAAGTGGTAGAGCGCTCACCTTGAGCTGAAGAGCTGAGGGACAGTGCTCAGGCCTAGAATTCAAGCTCTAAGACCGACAAAAAAGAGAGAGAGAGAGAGAGAATGTTTCAAATGGGTGCTGGTGGCTCACACCTGAAATCCTAGTTGTTCAGGAGTGCATTGCAGATCAAAGCCAGCTCAAGCAGGAAAATCCGTGAGACTCTTATCTTCAATTAACCATCAGAAAACAGAAGTGGCTCTGTGGCTCAAGTGGTAGAGCGCTAGCCTTGAGCTGAAGAGCTGAGAGACAGCACCCAGGCCCAGAGATCAAGCCCAATGACAGACAAAAAAAATAGAAAAGAATATATGGACACATGTATGATGACATTTGGAAAGCAATACATGGAAAAATCCAGTTGGACAAGAAGATGATAAAAGGAGCACCCAGTAGAACTTTTTGAGATGAAGAATGCCGTGTTTGAGCTGACAAACAAGAACCTTCAACAGCAGCCTTGACCAAGCACAGCTGATTTTCCAGGGCTGGGAAGGTGGCTCAGTGGTAGAGTGCTTGCCTTGCATGTATGAGGCCCTGGGCTTGATTCCTCGGCACCACATAAGCAGGATAAAAAAAAAAAGCTGGAAGTGGCACTGTGGCTCAAGTGTAGAACACTAGCCTTGAGCTGAAGAGCTGATGGACAGGGCCCAGGCCCAGAGTTCAAACCCCACAACTCACACACACACACACACACACACACACAAAACTGATTTTCCAAAGAGAAATCAAGAACATGTTATGGGGAGAGGATCAGTTTGTCAATAAATGATCATAGAAACCTTGAAAATCCACATGAAGAAGAGTGAACTTGGACTCATTTTATACTCTATAAAAAAATCAATTCAAAATGCACTAAACACTTTGAAGACCAGAAAATATAAAACTCCTAGAAAACATTTGAGGGAATGATGGAATCACCCTTAAAGCTAAATCTAAAATACAACTGGACATGATAGCTTGTACAGGACTCCAGGCATTCACACACAAATAATCAGACTGAAGGAAGATAATTTAAAGGGAGGAACCTAAAGGTGTAACTCCTCTGAACACTTAAAATATTACTGGTCAAAACAGATCCCAGAAAATGGAAGCATGGCTTTTTGTTGTTATTCTTAGTGGTGGAGCTGCTGGTGGTGGTGCTTTGTTTTGCTGCTGGGGATTTTTGTTTGTTTTGTTTTTTTCTTTTTAAGGGGACAAAAGGGAATGTGCTTAATGGAAGGAGGGAGGGTGAAGAAATGCAGTCATGGGATTCAGTATACATTGTGTGGAAAGTGAACTTGTGGGCATGGGTGGGAGGGAAAAACTGCAGGTAGGAAGCACCAAAAAGAATTGTACTTATTACCTGACATTAAGTGCAACCCTCTGGATAACACATTACTAATAATGACATTATCTTTTAATGTGTTTAATTTTTTTTGTCCGTTGTAGGGCTTGAACTCTGAGCATGGGCGCTATACCTGAGCTCTTCAGCTCAAGGCCAGGGCTCTACCACTTGAGCCACAGTGCCACTTTTGGTTTTCTGGGACTTTATTGGAGATAAGAGTCTCCTGGACTTTCCTGCCTGGGCTGGCTTTCAATTGTGATCCTCAGATTTCAGCCTCCTGAGTAGCTAGGATTACAGGCGTGAGCCACCAATGACCAGCTATGTGTTGAATTTTCTATTAAAAAACAAACATTGTTTCACTGGATTAAAAGGCAGGAGACAGCTGAGTACTGGTGGCTTCTACTTGGAATCCTATCTACTCAGCAGGCTGAGATCTAAGGAACAGGTTTCAACGTCAGCGCAAGCAGGAAAGTCTGGGAGACTCTTCTCTCCAATGAACCACCAAAGGCCAAAAGTGGAGCTATGGCTCAAGTGATAGAGTGCCAGCCTTGAGTACAAAAGCTCAGGGACAGCATCCAGGACATGAGTTCAAGACCCAGGACCAGCAAATATACATGCATACACACAAAACAATGAGAAGTTGGAAAAAGACATACCATCAAACTGAAGTACAAAAAAAGAAAGAATTTACATTCTTATTATAGAAAGAAAATTCAAGTAGAAATTAGTCAGAAGAGGTAAAGAATGTCAGTGTATATTAACAGAGGGGCAATTCATCAAGAACTTATAACCATTATAAATATACATGCACTCAGTGTTAGCACACCCCAAATATTACTAAACAAATATTACTAATCATAAATATAAAAGTCAAGACACAACATTTGTGGTTGAGCCCAATGGCCCAATCTGATCAATAGATAGAATGTTCTCGTTAAAAAAAAATCAACACAGACACATTACAACTCAACAACACCCTCGGTTACATATAAATTTAGCCACCTGTGGAATAATGCCCTGTGTTTAAAGAAGAATTGAAATCTCTCAGGTGCCCACAGTACCTTTCCCAAACCACATCATATCCTAAGCCATAAAACCAACTTCACAAAACACAATTCGACTTTCAGGTTTCTATATCCATAATAGAATAAAGATCAGTATCAAGGAACACGACACATGCTGTTCAAAGAGATAAAGATTGAACACAGGTGTTTGAATCGTCAGTGGACATGGAAGAAATCAGGAAAGAAATCTCAAAACTTGGACACTGAAACAAAAATGCAAACACGCTGACTAGAACCGCGGAGCAGGAAAGGCACTGTGATGAGGACACTGCACCGCTACGAGCACCTTCCTCAGAAACTCAGAGACCCCAGATTAAACCACCTAACCCTGAAGTTCAGGCTGCTGGAGATAAAGGAGAAACACCCCCCAAAAGAGAAAAGTCCTACCTTCGGCAGTGGCTTTCCCCGGTGGCAGTTGATTCCACCAACGTAGACCATGTTGGGCATCACAGGTCTGGGAAAGTCCAAGACAAAGTCAGTTCTCAACAACCAAATCGACACTTGGCTGAACAGGTCATATGTAGTGACCGGGGTCTGGAGAATCTCAGAGGCAGCTTCTATGGCTTTTTCAAAAAATATGGGACAAAATAGATGTTCTGTCAGGAAGGAAATGTGGTTCCACACTCTCTCTCTGAAAGTCATGGTGTGTGATAAGCCCTGGAACGATCTGGGACCATAAGAAGGAGGACTGGGGCACTGGGTTCCTTCTTCAAGATTAGAGCAAAATGCTCCTCTGGAAAAGAACACAGACGGGAGTGAAAAATACCTGGCAACAATTAAGCCACACATGTCAAAAGGATCCAGGAACACTGCATCAAAAGAACTCTCACGTAGGTACTCTATCAGTTCTTTGTCATTAAACAAACTCTTACAGCGTGAAAAAGTGATATCAAAAAAAACTTTAGAAGAACCTGTTGCTAGAGCAAACATATTGTTATCCCTAGTTTTCCACTGAGCATCAGCAAAATCCTTGAACTTCTGGTCCAAATTGTCTCGCGTATGAGAAGTCGAGTACATCTTCACTGTGAAGTTCAGTGAGCGTCCCGGCTGCCAAATCACCTCCGGCACAACTGCGACCACCTCATGCCCTCGGTGGATGAGTTTCTCCACCACAGAGCGCATGGACAACCAGTGGCTGCCATGCATGGGCACCACCAGCAGCTTGCCTGCCTGGGCAGAGCCTGAGGCCAGCAGCAGACAGGCACACACAGGAAGGAGGGCAGGCAAGACTACAGGAGCCATGAGAAATGCAGCCCACACCAAGCCTACAGTTAGACACTGTACAGTAGGTACAGTAAGGACAAATACAAAACATACTGTGGATAAAGTGGATACACACATCTGTACAGAAAATCCTAGTTGCTGCTAAAGATTTACTCAAAAGATTAATGAGAAATGAGCTTCATCTGCCAATATCTCTCATTTATTTTACCCAAGTAAGAAGTTTTGATATCCTTTGCCTTGGGGAGAAGCATGCCCCCTACTGAAAGGATTATTCAGTAATGGATTTGGACTTTGACACTGTAGAAAGATGGAGAGCTAAACTAAACTTGAATAAAGTTCCTAGTACTGAATTGTTTCCCAAAAAACTTGGACTTTATCTAAAGTCCATCAAAGACTTCTTACTCAAAATGAAATTGGCACTCAATCTCCAAGGAAAGACAGGGAGATGCCCAATCGTGGCCTCCTCGCTGAGGTGATGAGAATGAGGTCTGAGAACGTGGTGTAGCTCTGGGGACGTAGGACACAGGGTTTGGGCTCTGGCTAAATGCATGCTCCAGGGAGCAGGAGAAGCCCCTGAAGAGGTACCCGGAGGGCAGACCCAGGTACTCGGCCAGGATCACACCACAGGGCAAGGCCATGTCTGTGAACAGAGCATCGAGCTAGGTCTCCTGGAGGAACTTCAGGGTGGCAGAGTCCTTCAGGAGGCTCTGGCAGTTGAAGAAGACCATGTCGATCACAAACATGTTGTTTCAGTACTCGGTCTGAGCAGCTGTCAGGAGCGATCGATTGTCAAAGTGGTGATTCCCAAAGAGGTGGAAACGGTGCTTCAGCTCACCCTCGTCATAAGGCACTGCATAGATTTTTTCTCTTTTTTTTGTACCTTGGTTTTATTTATGTCCAAAAATATTTCAAAAAAATTACAAAATACTCCAAATGGAGAGCACACAGAAGTCACGATTTCTGAGTGTCTACTCTGATTACACTGTGTTATCACATGGCAAACTACTCATATATACACTTGAAGAACTGAGAATTATATTCACCATTTTGTAGTCACTAACTGCTGACTTAGCTTCTGTAACTTGCTTTTGCTAACGTTAAAGTATAAAGATAGGTCTGTGTCAACAAACTCTAAAGAATGTAACCGCCGTGATAGGTAACTAACTGCTGACCTCAAGCCCCAGACATTCCCAGAGTCCGGAACAATGGCTAACACATATTGCGGATCCTCCTCTGGGAACTGGACCCCGAGATAATGACCAACTGGCAGGACCAGCAAACTAGGCCAAATGTCAACCAATCGCAAGCCTGTAACTATGAGAATTCCCCCTAACCCTTATCATCCAAAGCAACCAGCCCCCTTGAGTCACCCCCCACCAAGCATTTTATAAAGAGTGTTACAAAATTTCCCGTGTGGCATAGTGATTTGCTGTGAGTGTCTACCGGGGCCCTGCCCTACCTTAAAATGTATAAAAGGTGCTGTAACCCTGTGTTCAGGGCCTCTTGCTAACACCCCTACAACGGTGTGCATGAGGTCCGTGCTCACGAGTTTGTTAATAAACGACTCTTTGCCGCTTGCATTGTCCAAGGTCTCTGGTGGTCTACTGGGGGGCTCTGGGTACTATACACTTAGCTTCAAGATATATATAAACCCAGCAAACCAGAATAAATTTTTCTTGTGTAGTACTGGGACTCTTTCAAAAGCAAATTCACTCTAGGCACCAGTACCATGATGTTGTGACCTCTGACACTGAGATGCTCCACTACATCCTTCATACTGAGCCAGTGGCTTCTATATACATATACATGTACACATGTATTGTAGATAAATGTATTGTAGATAAATGTATATATAGATACAGATATATATGTATGTATATGAACTAAAGATCTTGCCCTATCCCATGAACAAGTAAAGTACAGGAACAGAAGAAGTATGATGAAAGCAAATAAAATTGGGAAGACATGCAGCTGTGGTACTCACTAGACACTATGTTGAAAATGAACGATACAACCTGTGGGTGGGATAGGAAGGAAAAACTGGGAAAGAGCAAGGGAAGGAGGTAATGGTCCAAAAAGAAATGTCCTCTTTACTTAACTTATGTAACGGTAACCCCTCTGCACAGCACCTTTATAATAAAATATATTTCATAATTTTCAAGCAGAGGGAAGAAACTGTGGACATGCATATTGTGGGAAAACAGCAGGGTGATACACATTCAAATGCTTGTGGTTCAAGTAGCCAAAGGTACAAACAAACAACAACAACAACAGAACAAGACGCAGACAGCGCGGAACGGGCTGGGAGGCCCATGCCCTGACACGCACTGCCTCCCAGCTTTGGAGGATGGAGGGCTGAGGACAGCATGTCCTACTCTCTAAGACTGTGGAGGAGGAGCATGCTCCAGCCTGTCCCCTAGCTTCTGGTGTTGGCTGGCTATCTGTGCTGCTTCTTTGTAGGCTGGAGCCTCACCTGGCCCTGCCTCCTCTTCCCCTTCCTCCTGGGCCCATATCTTGTATCAAGATCCTATGGGGGAGGGGGTCTTATGGTGACCTCCACTTAACTACTAACATCTGTAATGACTCTAGACCCACTAAGGTCACCTTCTGAAGGCACTGGAAAGAACTTTAATATATCTTTCCGGGGGAGGCAGAGCAAGGGATACAAGTGAGCCACTGACATCCACCCACTGCCTCACAGCCAGGCCCACTTTCCCCAGGAGGGACAAAGGCTTGCTGCCTATGGAAGAGGTCGTTCTTAACCTTCCTACCTCTTTGCAAGGAAAACAAAGTTGACTACTACAAGTAGAATAGATTTCTGGTCTCAGAACTCCTTTACACTTGTCAACTCTCCCCCCCCCAATAATAATACATAGAAGACAAAAAATAGGCTAGAGAAGGTAACTGGCTCTTACTTGCAATTCTATGACTGGGTATCACCTCATCCCATCAAACAAAATGAGCACTGCAACAAGTCAACTGACAGTGAAGCACAAGGCAGTTCTAGGCTTCCGGAGAGCACACAGGGAGCTGTTCCCTTCACTCCTCCCAGTCCTAGACACATCCCCACACATGCACACCCCATTAGTCCTGCTTGCAGGCCACAATCTTCTTTCAGAGTACATTTCATAGCTTGTAACTCACTCACGTACATCTGCCTCTCCATTAGACAAAAGTCTACCAGGCAAAGCCAAGCTCATTTGATCATGGCCATATCCCCAGCACTCACCACAGAGGCTCACAGAGGCTCTCCATAGGTAGTGATCCAATGAAGGAATAGTAATGCTAAACAAAGAACAAATGACCAACTAGACACTAGTCTGCAACGCTATCCACGCCAGCAAAACGAGTTCACTACTGCTAGAGGATTGGATCATCAGACATACTGGCAAATATCCAGGGAAATGTCACTGCTATTCTGACCAGCCAGAGGCCAGGCATTTCCAAGCAGCTCCCTGTCGACACAGGAAGGCAGCCAAGTATACAGAGGAGGCACCTGGGGAAGCTCAGATTGTCTTGTGCGGTGTGAGTGCATCCCAACAGCTGTCTCCAGACCTACAACTGCCCTGGATTCCAAAAATCAAAGCTGAATTCCTTCCAGCTGGACCACGTACTCAATTCTAAGGAAACTCTCTGAAAGTTGCAAGAGACTATGCACAGTCTTTCCTGGTAAATCTATTTTAACATTCTCCTCAAGAATGATTCTGGCACTCCTGTTAAAGTACCTAACAGGATCACATGTAATGAGGAAGATTCTGTTAGAGGAAGCCCTCAGGGAAATCTGTTGGGTAGCCCCTCAAAAACCAGAACTACATGCAACACACATACACACGCGTGCCGCACACACACACACACACACACACACACACACACACACACAGACACACACACACACGAGCATTCTCTCTCAATTCCTGCTTTCTCTCCATCCCTTCAAGCAAAGAAATGAGATTCAGACCAGGACTCCTGTTGTCCCACAATGCAAACCTGCGTGGTTTCCCCAGAGACAGACTGCCCACCAGAAACATGCAGATCATAGATTGTTCCAATGAAAAATGGACTTTTCTTGTGCTCCATCCAGATTCTCAGCCAAATGGTTCCCTTTGGTATTGAAATTAATCTTTGTGAATTTCACCTTCATGATACTCATAAATATATAACCTTCTACATGGATAAAAACTTACCTACATGTAGCTCTTTTGATAGATATATAAAACCATATATTTTATTTCTATACACATAACCATACATAGACATGAAAATCTCTATGACTCAATGCAACAATATATTATAGATGCAGCTATAATGTGAGTCATATAAAATCTCTCAGGTAACCAATGGGTCACTCTGAACTAGGTACTGGTTCAGGCATTTGTCTGTACCCAAGGGTGTAGGTGGGGCCTGGATGGTACTTGGTGCTTTCTTGATGTAAGACAAGGGGAACTGAAGCTTTGTGTGTGTGTGTGTGTGTGTGTGTGTGTGTGTGTGTGTGTTGGGTTTTGGGGGGTTTTATTAGGTCATGGGGCTTGAACTCTGGGCCTGAACTCTTCAGCTCAAGGCTAGTGCTCTACCACTTGAGCCACAGCACCATTTCCGATTTTCTGGTGGTTAATTGGAAATAAGAGTCTCATGGACTTTCCTGCCCAGGCTGGTTTTGAACCATGATCCTCAGCTCTGAGTTTCCTGAGTAGCTAGGGTGAGAGGCATGAGCCACCACAGTCAGGCTAGATTGAAGCTTGTGAAAAGGGTCAGCAAAGAGCAAAGAGCTGTGCCTCATCTCCACACATCTACTGTAGCGTCCCGTCCTTTTGGAAAGAGTACGATCTCACTTTTTCTCCCTTGGGCTGAAAAGTCACTTTTAAACAACATATCCATCTATGAGAGAAAATGATATCACAGTTCCAAATTCTGCTGTGCTTTCAAAGAGACTAGAACCACAGATTTAAAAAAATGAATAAGCTGAAACAAAGATACAGGTTGAGCCATTGTAAAAATGAGATGTACAAGACAGCAAGATG